GTCGTTGCAGTGGGTCATCCTTGCAGTGGGTCGTTCATGCAGTGGGTTGTCGGTGCAGTGGGTTGACTTGCCCTGTCTTTCAGACCCCCACCCTGACAGTGTGAGATGGACTCACAAAGAGCTGCAGGAACTTGAGTATCCTCTTGTGGGTCAGGATGTAGAGGGCGTTCCCACTGATGGGATCAATGACAGGAAGTCGATGAATCTTGTTTTTGATCAGAGAGTGGACGGCTTCAAACACACTGAGGGAGGGGTCAGAGGTCAAAGGTCAGTGGTCTCATAACATTATCAATCAGCAGGAACTCTGAGGCCAACATCCACAGACTCAGACCAGTACCTGGCATCAGGTGTGATGTGGACCAGAGGCTTGAAGGTCTCCTGTAGGTACAACTCTGAAACAAAGAAACGTTTGTTATTCCCAACACGTGACAGTGTCCTGCAGCTGCTCTCACATCGGTCTGCCCACCTCTCCACGTCTCGATCTTATGTTCCTCCAGCTCGTAGATCTGCACCTGTCCACACAAACACAGCTGAGAGGTCAGAACTGAGCCTGGCTCAGATACAGGTCACCTGATCAGGGAGGTCGAGTCACTGTGACAGATCCACACCTGTGTGTGTGTGTGTGTGTGTGTGTGTGTGTGTGTTACCATGGGAGATTTGTAGTATCTGGTCAGGATGTTGATGAAGTCTGTGATGGTCAACATTCCTAAAACAACAAAAACAAACAAAGTGTTGATCTGTTGTCCTCACTCAGTCCTCCGCTGATGTTGCTCTGGATCCACAGTTCTCCAGAGTATCTGAAGCTCCTTCAGAGTTCCCACCAGGTCTGAACCTGCTGACCTTTGACTCTGAAGCATTCAAGCACAAAATGACCTGCAGAACTCCTGAGGACTGGATCGAGAGTTCTGATTTGATCACAAGTGAACATCAATAAAACGAAGCTTTGATCCTGAACGTGACACCACGTGCACACTCTTACCCACAAAGCCTTGCTTCTTGCTCTCCCACAGCGGTGCAGCTCGCACACCGTTCGCCACCAGAGCGAAGAACGCCTTCTTCACCTGAAACGATCGATGATAATCGGTCAGCAGCTGAAGCTGTGACCTCTGATCACAACCAGGGCTGGAGTCCCTCAGGGCTCCGCCCACTAACGCTTCACACTGAAAGTCTGACTCAGTCCATCCAGAACCAGAAGCAGACGGTCTCACCTGCAGCGTGGTGTCGAACACCACCAGTTTGGAGCTGGTGGGGATGATGTCATAACACTTGTGACATTTCATGAAGCGCATGTAGATGTCTCGCTCCGACTCCTCTGACCCTGCAGACCCAACAGAACCACACAAGTCTGAGTCTGACCCAAACCCAGCAGAACCAAGCATGTGTCTAACCCCAATGCTGCCAGCCTCTTGGTTCTGTTTGTCTCCTTTGATGAGAGATAACTTTAGAACAGGTTCTGGTTCTCCTCCTTCACCCTCGGACTCATCAGAACAGGTCTGAGGAAGTCTGGGGACACTTGTGACATCACTTCCTGTGGACGGTCTCTCTTCAGGTTATTATCACATTATAGAAAAAAAACTGCTGCCGTTTCAACAATCTGATCAACTGAGCCTGGTCTGTTGTCATGGCAACACGAGACCTGCCTCTGTCCCCCAGGGGTCAGAGGTCATGCCTGGATCTCATCATCAGTTAGATCAGTCTTACCGGCATCATCAGGGTCCGGCTGCTCCGACATGCCGTCTGCCGCCTCCACCTGAAACACAGAATGAGTCCAAGTGAATCATCTCCTCCAGACAAACAATCTTTGCGTCGCCGACATTAAAAACAGGAAGTACAGAAGACTACAAAGACTGGAGAGGTCAGCCCGGGTCGACTGCGCTACTGGGCCGCCATTTTGAGAAGAGCTACATGTAGCAGCGAGAGCCTGTGGCTCTTTCAAGCTTTGACCGAAACCATCATCAAACTGAATTTATTGGTTGTTATACAAACGACAGCAACAACAGCAACAACAGCAACGACAGCAACAACAACAACAACAACAACAACAACAACAACAGCAACAGCAACAGCAACAACAAAAACAGCAGCAACAAAAACAGCAGCAACAGCAACAACAACAACAGCAACAACAGCAGCAGCAACAACAACAACAGCAACAACAACAGCAGCAACAGCAACAACAGCAGCAACAGCAACAACAGCAGCAACAGCAACAACAGCAGCAACAGCAACAACA